AGAATATGCCAAATTTAAATCAAACCTTGAAAAAAGATAACAATGTAATAAAGAAGATCACATTCATTTTCAGTGTGATTATGATGATAGTGGGGATGCCAGCAACCACTGAAAACATGAAGATAATTATTCTCCTCTTGTTTTTTATGGGAATGGAGAGATCTGTAGGCTTATTTTTAAAATGTTAGGGGAGGGGTGGGGAAGGAAACTTGAGTATTTCAACCAACTTTCAACAGGGGAAATTCCAGTTAAATTCCATTTAGAAAGTGACCCCTATAAGACCATAACTTCTGCTCTTTAGTCACCTTATAAATAATAGTATTTGGTATTATTTCTTATGGAATTGTGGCTCTATAGTACCTTGGCATAAAGTTAGAGGCATTAGTTTTTGGCACCTACTTAAAGTTAATTAATGAACAAATATTTATTGATTAGTCATATGGGGACCCTGGTGCTGCATGTTCAAGTGTCTTCAAAGACATACAAACAAGGCTCTTACTATCTGGGAATTTAAAATTTGGTTGTGTCAGAAAGACATACTTGTAAAAACGGTTTTGGTAACAAAATAAGGTGGTACAATGCTACTGTTTCAACTGTAAAACATGAGATCTGAAGCTTATATGTTAATTTGTAAACTCCTTGAGGATAAGACCTCACCTAAACATGTATGCATGTCCAATAGTGAGTGCTCAAGTGACTAAGCTTTGCAAAGTAGATTAGGTAAGGAGAAACCAGAGGCAAGAGAGAGAACAGCAGGGAAGCTTTCATAATAGATTAGATACAAGAAGATATGGGCCAAGTGAGGATGATAGCAGAGGATCAGAAAAGAATATTCCAAGGAAAAATCAGCAGAATTTAGTTACTGAAGGCAAGAAGACAAGCCTTAACTTTACAGTATTAATCTCTACTTCCAGCAAACAAACAAGAGTTGGAGACAGCAGAGGTAAATAGAGGGTCACCTTAGTAGGGAAACAGCACCCAATAGGTACTCAAATGTTTTCTCAAGCAGCAGTACCAGGATTGGACCAGAAGACCCTTAAGGTCCCTCCACACTGAGATTCTGTGGTATATGCAGATGCTCAAAATTATTAGGAAACAAGACATTCTCAAATATGGAAGACAAAGAAAAGGAAGAATTGTTATATTCCTACTGGCAGGCCTTTTTGAGAAGGGTTAATACTGAGTCATAAGGCTCCCAGTAGTGAGTGAAAGGAAGTGGAGGAGCGAGAGGAACAAACACTTCAAACCAAAAATTTCAATAAATGCATACATATCTTTGCAGGCTTCGTAAGTTATTCATCCTAACCACACATATACACTGAATCCTTATGAGTTAAGTAGGACAGGTATTATCAGTTCTGTTTTCATAAAGGACAGTATTAAAACACAGCAAGATTAAGTGACCTGTCCAATTTCATAAAATAAATTAATGAGAAAGCAGCGATGAAGACTCTTATCTCCCGATTGCTGCCAGCCCAGTGCATTTGACATTGAACCACATTGTTTTTCCTCCCTATGTACCTAGAAGTTATGTGTGCACATGACCAAATAGGGAATGCACAAGCAACTGCAGCATTATCTCAGATAGATATTAATACTTCATCATTATTCCTGGAGCTGAGTATTTGGTTTCCATATGTACTCAGTCCTTCATTTGCTATATCCACAGTCAGGAAAGTAGAGTTAGTAAGTCATTGAATGATATGAACACCTGTTTGCTAGATACTTAAAGAAGCCCTTAATACTACCAGTATTGTGCTCAAGTTTTCTCTTCCTTCTGTTACTTTTTTAAGTGAGAGTTCAAGAGTTCTGTTCTGAAAGTTATCCCACAGACAAGTATTAAAAATAAAGAGGTGTACTAACACTTGTTTCATCATCCTTTAAAGAAATGTTTATTACTTGAGCTAGTGCCAAAGACAGCAGTCTGAGGACAGAAAAACATAAAGAATTGTGGTAAACTTGATAATTCTTTAGAATAAATATAGACCAAGAAGGACAAAGCCTATCAATTTAAAAGACATTATTTAAATCCATAATTACTAATTTATATTTCTAATAAATCTCTTATAATATTCTTTATTTATATTTGAAGAAAATAACATGATGAACAAAATAGGTCCAGAGACTTGGAAGCATGGAACAGATTTACAGATCTTATAAGGAAGGGAGGGCAGGAAGAGAACTTATATGCATATATGTGTAGCCCATGGACACAGATAATAGTGCAGTGAAGGCCTGGAGTATGGGAGGAAGCCGGGTGGCGGGGAGTAAAGGGGCAGGGGGGATGGAGGACATCTATAATACTCTCAACAATAAAAATAAATTTTAAAAAATTACATAAGATTATTTAAGCAAGAGAGATTTTTTTTTAAACATTTCTTTATTCCTCACTATGAAAGAATACTCAACAAATCTAAGGACTGTTTTTCTTTTTTAGTCCAGTATACTTATATATAATCATATATATATATATATATATATATATATATATATATATATATATATATATATAATTGATTTCAGAGAGGAAGAGAAAGGGAGAGAGAGAGAGAGAGAGAGAGAGAAACATCAATGGTAAGAGAGAATCATTGATTGGCTACATCCTGTATGCTCCACACTGGTGGTCAAGCCCACAACCTGAGCATGTGCCCTGACCAGGAATTGAACTATGACCTCCTGGTCATTGCTCAACCACTAAACCAAGCTGGCTGGGTGACCAGTATTCTTTTTTTTTTACTTTATTTTTATTGTTGACATTACAGATGTCTCCCATCCCCCCCCCCCCTTGCCCACCTCCACCCACCCCCACCCCTTCCTCTGTGGCCATCCCATGTTGTTTAGACCAGTATTCTTGATGATGATTAAGTAAGATTCTTGCCATAATTAACTAAGATGTAAAATGAAGTTGTGTTTGAATTTAATAAAGCCGGTTAAGTACTAAAACTTGTGTTCAAGACAGATAATCAAAATTAATGAGTAAAATAATTAGCCAATAGAATACATTATAAATAGTGTATCCTCAAACATAAACTTTTCTTCTCTGATCTTGTGAAATCAAATGCAGAGACAAACTCAAGGAAGATTGCTGAGTGTGCTAGAAAATTCTTGGAGATGGGAACATTGATAGCTGTAAAGGGAAGGAGTTTCATCTCTGACATAGAATCTCAGCATATCTTAGCTTTCTCTGTGCTTTTCCTTTTCCGAATATCTTCTACTGTGAATATCACTTACTTTCTTTGATATACTTTGAATGGAGAGTTCAATAGAAATACAATATAAAAGTTTAAAAATTACATAAAGTACACTCAAATTAGGACAAGTTTAAGTTCTTGCAATAAAATTATTTGTCCATATTAAACATTTATAGCATTTTACACTCAAGTATATTTATGAAAAGCATTCTCTCTCGGTAACTTGAGGTTGGTCTGTTGTTTTCATGACTTGAGTATAGTATATATTTTTTATTATAGATTAAAAAAATAATGTTTCCCAATTTGTTTTTTAGAATCCTAGAACAGAAAACAAACAATCAAACAAACAACAACAACAACAACAACAACAACAAAACAAGAAAAAGACACGATTGTGACAAAGACCCAACTGGGTAGGTTTATATTTTATACTCAACTGTATAAATATATATTTTATATGTTTTTCATTGGATCTCCTAAAAATGACTGTTTAGAAAAATATATGATTAATACACATGCACACCAATATAATTTTAAGGGTTATTAAAATTACATTTCAAATGTATTTGACTCCAGAAACACTTTTGCATGTGCTGTTTGATTAGTGATTATTTTTCATCTCTTTGGGTCTCATGCATAAATAACACTCAACATCATCATTGTTGAGTTTCCACAATGGAGCTGATATGAAAGAGCCTAACAGAATCTAGTACAAGGTAGCATTTGATCTTTTATCTTTTTTTTACATACATTTTATTGATTTATTTTTTTTTTTACAGAGAAGAAGGGTCAAGGATAGTCAGAAACATCCATGAGAGAGAAGCATCAATCAGCTGCCTCCTGCACACCCCCAACTGGGGATGTGCCTGCAACCAAGGTACCCTTGACTGCAATTGAACCTGGGACCCTTCAGTCCCCAGGCCAATGCTCTATCCACTGAGCCAAACCGGCTAGGGCTGATCTTTTTCTTTTAAGATGCAGTCTAGGTATTTCATGTATAGACATGTTATGAAGGTAACAAAAGAGTTCAGTATAATTATTAATACTTTAGAGGTTATAATATGTTTCTTTAGTGCTAGTATGGAATTAGAACCTACTAGTAAACTAAAAATTAATAAGCTATTCTAGATATTATTCCTGAGTGACAGCTATTATATTGGTACCAGTCAACTGTCACCAACTTAATTGCTACTCTTCCATGAAGAAAATATTATGGATGATCCTTTACTTGTGAGGGCATCCATATTAATGCAAGTATAATGAGGCAAATGCCAGAAGAAACTTGACCTTTTTCTCTATTCCAAGTTTGGTCTAATTCTAACCTAAACCTCTACTGACAGAATTCTACCTTATGCAGCCTTCTCTCCTCAGTACATCATGAACAGACTTCAAACTCCAATTTAATTTTATACTGTTTGCCTGTTTAGAACTGTCAAAATCTGAAGCTAATATGGTTACACATTTTAATGGCATTCCTGCTCTAGGTTTTCTCATCTAAGAGAGAACAGGGTCCGAACTGAACCAAATTGCAGCACCATTTGCTAGTCCACTTACCCATGATATTCATCCATTCCTGGCAGAGACAATAGACCTTAAACCATCAAGACCTATTTTCTTCCTTGTGCAAAAAGAGTTTTATTCCTTCTGCTAAACTATATCAGTTAATGAGCATGAATTAGAAGGCTCCACAATTCAGAGAAATTTATTATGAAGTTGATTTCCATTTCAAGTTTAACTGTCTTCCCTCTTATTTTTTCTTTTCTTTTCAGGTTATCTTGGTTAGAAACTTCCCCATTTGGTGCTGCAACAATGAGTGGTAAATCCTTGCTCTTAAAGGTCATTCTCTTGGGTGATGGTGGAGTTGGGAAAAGCTCGCTTATGAACCGTTATGTAACGAATAAATTCGACTCCCAGGCTTTTCACACCATAGGGGTAGAGTTCCTAAATCGAGATCTGGAGGTAGATGGACGTTTTGTAACTCTCCAGATCTGGGACACTGCAGGGCAGGAACGTTTCAAGAGCCTTAGAACACCCTTCTACAGGGGAGCAGACTGCTGCCTCTTGACCTTCAGTGTGGATGACCGACAGAGCTTTGAGAACCTTGGTAACTGGCAGAAAGAATTCATCTACTATGCAGATGTGAAAGACCCTGAGCACTTCCCCTTTGTAGTTCTGGGTAACAAGGTAGACAAAGAGGATAGGCAAGTGACTACTGAGGAGGCACAAGCCTGGTGCATAGAAAATGGAGATTACCCTTATCTAGAGACAAGTGCCAAAGATGATACTAATGTGACAGTGGCCTTTGAAGAAGCTGTCAGGCAGGTGTTGGCTGTAGAGGAACAGTTGGAGCATTGCATGCTAGGTCACACAATTGACTTGAATGGTGGTTCCAAAGCAGGATCTTCATGTTGTTAAAAGTAAGAAGCCTTTTAAAGGTGTACCCCAAATTGGTCAGTCGATAGTGTAAGAATAACTGTGCCCCTCTAAAACTGTACACACACAAAAAAAGAAAGGGTAAGAGATAAGGTTGTAGTTGTTAATTAGAGCCTTTCACACTGAAGTTGTAGAGCAACTTTTTAAAAAGTGCTTTATCAAGTCAAGTGTATTTTGCGTGATTTCTGCTATTTCCTTCTTGTGTGATCAGGACATTTCAGAAAACTTTAGTCCTGAGAGACCTAAGTATTTTTTTTCAAATCATAGTTTAAACTTAGAACCCAGCTGCATGAAGGAATTAAAGAGCTATAGCTATCCCTTACAGTGTCCATTAATCAGCTAACAAATGTCACCACCAACTTTTGCCAAGCAGTTTCGACGTGTCTGCCAAAGGAGGGAAATAATATTCTGAACTTTATTACAGTAAAATAGTAATTCAAACAAGGATTTTCTAAGCTTGAATTTTAAAGACATTGCAATTACTAGGAATACAAAAGTATAATGATGTATACTGCCTTGTTTAAACTTTTATGTATGCTTTGCTGCCATCTGAGCTTTTCAAAATATACCATCTCAATAAGAGATACACTGATGACACTGGAAATTGATTATACTCCTTGTGTTTGAAGTAACAGGGTACTAGAGAATGTGTTATGCTTAAATATGCCAACCACTGTTGCAAATAAATGGTTGGTCTGCTTTTACTTCATAAGTCTACTTTTGCTGCCTAGGCATGTTTCTTCTCTGACAACCTCTTATCATTTTAGCGATGTTGCTTGGTATATGGCTTTGGATGCAGTGCTCTCTGCTCATAATTTTGATGGTCATTTGGTCCATCATGCTGTGCTCTCAGAGAAGCCTTCAGAAAAGAGTGGGGGATAATGGGCTTTTCTCACAAGGTTCCTTAACTTCAATATTTATTGTATAAGAAGAAACAGGGTGTGTGTGTTTGTTTGTTTTTTGTGTGTGTTTGTTTGTTTTTGTTGTTTGTTTGTTTTGTTTTGTTTGTATGTTGTACTGTATATTCAGCTGGCCAAACTAGGATATTAAAAGTGACAAGAGAGCAGACTTTAACTCAGAATTAGAATTAATTTCTCATAATTAGAATTGTCCAACAGTGGAATGGACTGCCTTAATAGCAAACTTTCCAGTAAAAATATTCAAGTAGATGCTTGATGACCATCTGTTAAAATACCATAAAAAAGGATTTCTGTACTGGCTGAATGTTTCTTTTCAGGTCCCTTCCAGCTCTAAGTACTATAAACCTATGAGCTACAAACTACATTTCAGTGCCATGTTATAATTAGATGTATCTTAAGACAATAGCTAAGACTATGGAGAGGGACTTGTAAAAATGCTCAAACTATTCTGGGATCAAGCATTTAACAGTAACTACATAGCTCTATCTTTTGCTTTTGTAGTATGGCAGGAAAATTTCTTGAAATCTGAGTAATCATTGTGTGTTCAGATATAAATGTCCTAAAGATAAGATATTAAAATACAAAATTGGTTGTCAAAATTTGATTACTATGACTGTCAGCTATTTATGTGCATTCTGGTTCTTGTTGGTTGACTTGTCTGGCATAGCTTTTTATCTGTACTTTTTAAACATCTATGATAAAAATAGTGACCCGAGTTAGTGATGAACAATTATAAATGACCCCCAAAAGAGACCTGGGCCAAGGAGGGGGTGTGAGCTTTCACAAGAATACAGCTTAGAACTTTCCATTGTAGTCACATATGGAATCAGCCTTACACATAAGACCTTATGTGCTTTAAGAGCTCTGGGACTTTTTGCCACCTAGACAAATTGAAGATGGCATTTCAACCCAGTTATACTCAACATTTCCAATTTAAATATAGTCCCGACCCCATTGACAAACTAACTTTTATCAAATTATCCAAATTCTATGATAATTTTGCTACAATCATGTTAAGGTGAAAATCTGTACATCAGAGCTATTAAATGCTAACTGTTTTAAAGTGCATGAGACCTGGGGCCTTCTCTTTCTACTTGCACTCTGCTTAAAATAGTTTCTATTTGTAGAACTCAGGCCTTCATAAAGACCTTCATTCACTCACAAAAGTACTTGTCTCTATCAGAATGGCATGTGGTCATTTAAGTAAAAAAAAAATGCCTGGATATCCCATTCATAGGTCTCCTGTCCATTCAACACAAGTGTTAATTTTATTGGCAGGTTAGCTAAAGCCCCTTTCCTCTTAGCCATGCCAACTTTTTTTCTGCCAAATCACTACACAATATGTTTTAAAAACATTTAACATAAAGTGACAAAAAAAAAACCAGTGGCATTTTAGTGAGCAATACTCAGTGAGGTGTTGATGTATAATTTGAATAAGACTTAAAAACACCAAAAGCTGAGATCTGAGAGTCCTGGGAACTGTGCATATAGGCTTAGAAATTGTGTACCTGAATGTGCAGTGCAGTATTTTCAGCAGTTTTTTTTTTTTCATGAACACCAAATTTTTGAATAACCTATTTCTAATTGAAACTATACTGTTTTTCAATGGTTCATTAGAATGTCATACAGAATATTTATTTTGTATCTTCATGTATTGGACTAATATCAGGGGGTCTCAGATTCCATATGTCTTCAGTGGATTGATAAATTTCAGGTTAATTTGTGCCTGCCTCAGCCATCTCTACTTTATCCTGAGGTATTCCACAATCCTCTTGTTGCAGGTGCTGCTAAAAACTCAAAATTGTGTATCAGATCTTTTGTTTCAACTGTAAAAAGTCATCTGTGTTATAAAGTAAATAAAAAGTGCTTTTTGAATAACATGTGTACAATGCTTGTGCTTCTTTCCTTTTTCTCTTTTTGAGTGACTGGTGGGTGTGACAGACAGTACTTATTAATCAAGTCACTCTTTCAGGCTGCATTGCATGTGGATCATTTTTTCACATGGTACTCTGAGCAGCTACTACCTAGAGATCATACAGATACTCTCCTATTGATTGGGAAATAAACTAAAAAATATTAAGGTGGGAAAGTTCCTTTTATTTTATGCTACTTTTTAATGTATGAAGAGTGTTGGGACTGGAAATTGTATCTTGACTCTCCACTTTGTCTTCATTATAATTTAAACCAAATGTTAAAGTACCACAAAAAATACATATTCCTTTTATTTTCTTGACTGGCATACTGTCCAGATTTTAGAAAACATGAAAATACAGGTGAAATAAATCAGAAAAACAGAATAATTTTGTTAACTATTCTGTTCTCTTGTTTCCATATTTTGGAATTTAAAGATTAGCATCAACTGGTTTGAATGTATATGGTAGCAACTTTAAAATTATAGACTCAGGATGTGAGGGCAATCTGGCTGCGACATCTGTCACCCCATTGATCGCCAGGGTTGATTCGGCTGATCTGGCTGGCTAGGCGGGTGTCCCCCTCCTCCCTCACCGATCCATGTGCGTCCCTCTGGAAGCTGCGCGCTCAGTCGAAGAGGACGACTTTCCCCCAAGAGGAGAGGACCGGTCTTTGGTCAAGGGTATACGAGTAGCTGCACTCCCCTGCTAGAACCTCCAAACAAGCTCTCAAGGTCCATAAAATTATGGACTCAAGTACCTCCACAGCACATAATTTCATTTTAGTTATTCCAAATCTCTCAGCTTTAGCCATCTTTTCTCCTCATTCTACTTTTGCCTGTGGGAGCAGATTTTTTTTTTTTTCCACCTGTAGTGTATCTCTGAGAATAATCATTTTACAGATTATCAGACTCTGCTTCAAATAAAGCACCTAAAATCTTTTTTATTAGGTTACTAGAGGCCTGGTGGATGAAAATTAATGTACTGGAGGGGGTGTCCCTCAGCCCGGCCTGCCTCCTCTCACAGTCCAGGAGCCCTCAAGAGCGGAAGACAACCTGGCAATAAGGGAAAGACTATGCCCCCATCACACCTCTGCTGCTGCCACTGCCAGCAGCACAAACCTTGGCCAGCCCTGGTTACCTGAGCCTTGGGCAGCCCTGGGCGGCTGAGCAGCCACTATCTGAGGCTTGTCTGTGCCTTGGACCATCCCTGGGTAGTTGGGGGCCTGAGGGCAGGTCTAGCCATACCATGTACCTGCCTCCCTTCCTGCTCCCCCCCCCCCCAGGGTGAGCTGAAAGCACTGTGGGACTCTGGTGGGGCTGAGGGAACTGGGCGCCACTGTGAAAGAAAAGAGCCACATGCTAACTTGACAAGCTCAGGGAAGGCCTGTGTGGCAGTCTTGCAAACCCAGAGACCTAAGATAACCACAAAAGATGGTTTGAAAATTAAAAGATGGTCAATTAACAGGTTATAGTAGATAGGTAGTCATGTCCCAGATATTTCGCCTAACAAAGATCAACTTTGATCTTTTACTGAGCCCATCTGCCTGTCAGAACCTGAGATAACATATCTTTGAGATGTCTGGGTAACTTGTAACTTCCTTTTTACTCCAGACCCCTCAGGGCACAACAAATGGCCTTGAGACATTCCCTCATTGTTATTGTTATCAAGTTAATTGTCAACTGTTAATTGCATTACAGTATCCTGTATCCATCTCTGTAAAGGAAGCTCACGTCCATCATTTAACCTTTTACCCTATCCCAGAGGTTTCTCTTACCCCCCCCTTGCTTTGTCCCACCTCCCTAATCTATCACCAATGAATTTCATGTAACTAACCTACGTCCCTTTCCTTTGATTGCAATGTATAAATATAGAAATGTAACCTGCCATTCTCCGGAGCATTATCTCAATCCATTGAGGTTCTGCTTCCCGGTATATGTCGACAGTAAGGCTCAAATAAACTCACAAAAAAATTCTTTACAGGTGTCAATGGTTTTTTTCATTAACACCACCAACTTTGTGATGGTGTGAGGGTCAATTAGCATTTTCCCTCTTTATTAGTTAGGATAATGGTGTAACTTTTAATCTATAGAAGATATATAGTTTTAAGCCTCTTAAAAAAGGATTTGCTCATTCCAAACTGATATTTTAA